CTCTCTCTCTCTCTCCTCTCTCTCTCTCCTTCCCTCTCTCCTCCTTCCCTCCCTCCCTCCCCTCTCCCCATTCACCTTTTATACAATGTCCTCCCTCTCCTTCAGTGTATCTCTCAGGCTCTCTCCCTCTTACGAGAAAAAAATACATAGTAATGTACATTCGTCCGTTCATGACCGTTTCTTGGGAAATTCTTATGTACATTTTAGGAATTGAGGGAACGGGAAATTACGCTTTTCTTTCCGCCGCACCCTTTTTGTCGGTGTGTGTTATGTGTATGTGCGTATGTCTGTATACGTGCATGCACGTAATGCACATATGGAATGCATATATTTTATATATGTATGTAAGTAATATATGTGTTGTATGTATTAGAATATGTATGTGTTGTATGTGCTATATGTATATATTGCATTTATGTATTTAATGTATGTATGTATATGTACGTTGTGTATCTGCATGTATGTGTGTATGTGTGCATATGCATATGCATACGCGTATCCAAGCGCACATCTTTGCGAGCATATTCCTTGTTTGCTGTTTTGTCGTCTATTCCCTGAGTTTTTTCCTCTCCTTATTCCCTTCCTCCGTGGCCATTGTGTTGATCATTCCCGTGTCTTCATCTCGTTTGCCTTCTTTTGAATCGCCATGTCCATTATCCTAATTATTTGCGTTATGCCTATTGTTGCGGTACGTGCCTAGGGGAGAGCGTGATGACGTGGCGGCGTACCCGTTGGCCTGCCCAGCTGAGAGCCCCTCCCCCACCATCCCCCCGCAGATATCCTGCCCCAACCCACCCGGTCCTAGAGATGCGGGGACATGTTTGGGATCCTTTTTTTGACGATTTCGGGGATTTCCGAATCATGTTACTCCTCAACTCCCCCTCTCCCTCTCTCTTTCTGTCTTCCTTTCTCTCTTTCTTTCGGTCTCACTCTTTATTTCTTTGACTTTTCCTTTCCTTTTTCTTTCTCATTCTTTGCATTTTTCTCTATTTCTCTTCCTCTCACACGCAAGCTCATGCTACTTTTTTCTGTTTTCGCCTGTCTTTTTCTGTTTTTGTATATCTCCTTCATTTCCATTTGAAATCTTTATCACCATCCTTCCCTCTCCCTTTTCTTCCATCACCCCCTCCCCTCCCCAACCCTTCTCCTCCCCCACACCCTCCCATGTCCCTCCCTCCTCAAGGTCAGACGAGGGGGTAGGTCGCAGCTATATTTTCTTTTGTTTGTCTTCTTTGCAACCATTCCTTCACAATCTTTTGCGTTCCGCTGTTTATTCCGCTTCGCTGTTTATCCGTTCTTCCGCTGTTTATTCAATCGTCTGCTATTGATGCCAATCAGTGATGATAATTCGTTCGATACGATTTATTTTGTTACCGATTGAGGGGGACTTAATTTCGGGGGGGGGGGGGGCGGCGGGCGGCGAGAGATCAGGCGGCGATGCGGCGGAGCTCTCGTAAGTCGGGGGATAACGGGGAAGGGCTGGGATTGTTTTTGTCCGTTTGTTTGTTCGCCTTTGCTTTTGTTTCGGATTCTGTGTTTCGGTTTAGCTTTGTTTGGGGTATTTTTTGCTGTATGCTTTGTTGTGTATGCTGGGTATGTATATTGTATGTGTGCTGTGTGTGTATGTGTGGTAATGATTACACATGTACATATGCATACACGTACAAAAGCGCACAAACAAACGGGGGCGCGCACATCTAAGCACAGCAGAGTGTACATATCGCGTTACGACAGATGTCCCGGCCGACAAAAGCGTCGTGGCATATGACGTCACACAGATGGAGTGTCATGGCAGCTCCCAGTGCCGTAATGGGCTCATGGCTTGGCTAGGCGCGCATGACGCGGCCGCCGCATGGATGGCAGGCCGCGTTAACGACAGCGGCTGCTCAAGCATGCGATTGTTTACCGAAGAAACAGTGCAGCCGAGTGCATTCGAGTGCCGCTCCGCATGCATGATATGCATGACGAGCTGTGGTCATGAGGGCGGGTTGCATGACTCCCTCTCCCCCGCTCTCCAAAACCGACCTTGAGAGTGTTGCCAGTAGCAGCATCAGGGCTTTAAAAGGTCAGTTCCTGTGACGCAGTTATCCTCCTGTCGGTGGTGTTGCGGGCGGCGGGGCGCGAGGGCGACAGAACAGGTGCCTCACCTGATGCGGGGAAGCGCATGGGCGGCCAGCGGGATGCAGGTGTGCGGGGCGCGGATCGGGATAGGAGGCTCGGGGGAAAGAGACCAGGCTGGGCTAGCAGAGACTGCTGGGATGGCCAGCGGGATGGGGGGGGGGGCGTGGGTTGAATAGGTGGCTCGGGGCTCGGCCTAGGCCAGAGAATGGATGGCCAGAGTGCGGGCCGCGAGGGGCGGGGCTTGAACGGTGGCACAAGAGGCATCAGAATGAAATTGACTTCGTACAAAAAGAATTGCCAGCGGAATGCGGGGTGCCACGGGGGAAGAGGGATGAGGCGGGCCAAGGGAGGGATGAAATGGCAGCGGGGAATTGACGGGCCAAGGGGAGGGGAATGAATGGCCAGCGGGATGCGGGTGTGCCACGGGGGAAGAGGGATGAGGCGGGCCAAGGGGAGGGGAATGAATGGCCAGCGGGATGCGGGTGGCCACGGGGAAGGGGGATGAGGGCGGGCCAGGGAGAGGGGATGAAGGGCCAGCGGGATCGGGGTGCCACGGGGGGAAGAAGGGATGAGGCGGGCCAAGGGGATGGGGATGAATGGCCAGCGGGTATGCGGGTTGCCACGGGGGAAGAGGGATGAGGCGGCCAAGGGGAGGGGATGAATGGCCAGCGGGATGCGGGTGCCACGGGGGAAGGGGGATGAGGCGGGCCAAGGGGAGGGGATGAATGGCCAGCGGGATTGCGGGTGCCACGGGGGAAGAGGGATGAGGCCGGGCCAAGGGAGGGGGATGAAATGGCCAGCGGGATGCGGGTGCCACGGGGAAGAGGGATGAGGCGGGCCAAGGGAGGGGATGATGCCAAGCGGGACGCGGGTGCCACGGGGGAAGAGGGATGAGGCGGGCCAAGGGGGAGGGGATGAATGGCCAGCGGGATGCGACGGGTGCCACGGGGAAGGGGGATGAGGCGGGCCAAGGGGGAGGGGATATGAATGGGCCAGCGGGATGCGGGTGCCACGGGGGAAGAGGGATGAGGCGGCCAATAGGGGGGGGCGGATGGAATGGCAGCGGGATGCGGGTGCCACGGGGGAAGGGGGATGAGGCCGGGCCAAGGGGCGGATGAATGGCCAGCGGGCCGGGTGCCACGGGGAAGAGGATGGGCGGTGCAGGGGGAGGGAATGGATGAATTGGCCAAGCGGGATGCGGGTGCCACGGGGGGGGATGAGGCGGGCCAAAGGGGGAGGGGATGATGGCCAGGCGGGATGCGGGTGCCACGGGGGAGAGATGAGGCGGGACAAGGGAGGGTGAAATGGCCAGCGGGATGCGGGTGCCACGGGGGAAGAGGGATGAGCGGGCGGGCCAGGGGAGGGGATGATATGGCAGCCGGGGTAATTGCGGGCTGCCACGGGGGAAAGGATGAGGCGGGGCCAAGGCGATCGGGAATGCTGTAAATGGCCAGCGGGATCGCGGGGATATTGCCACGGGGGGAGGCGATGAAGGGCGGACCAAGGGACGGGGATACTGTGACTATGGGCCAGGCGGATGCGCGGTGCACCGTGGGAAGGGGGATGAGGCGGGCCAAGGGGCGGGGCATGATGGCAGCGGGGCTCTGCGGGGTGCCACGGGGGAAAGAGGGGATGAGCGCGGCGCCAAGAGAGGATGGGGATGATGGCCCACGGATGCGGGTCCACGGGGGAAGAAGGGATGAGGCGGCCAAGGACGGGGATGAATCGCCAGCGGGATTGCGAGGGTTGCCACTGGGGAAGGGATGAGGCGGAGGCCAGGGGAGGGATATGAATGGCCAGCGGATGCGGGTGCCGACGGCGGGGAACGAAGGGATGAGGACGGCCGAAGGCGGACGAGGCGGCAGTATGAATATGGCCAGCGGGAGCGGGCATGTGTGCCCATCGTCCATACGGGTAAGAGGAATGAGGCCGGCCCAAGGGACGGGAATGAATGGCCAGCAGGGCATTGGCGGGCGGTACTGCCACGGGAAGCCGGGATGAGGCGCAGGCCAAAGGGGACGGGCATATTATGGCCAGCGGGTATACTGATGCGGAGGTGCCACGGGGAGAGAGGAGATGAGGCGGGCCTAAGGGGGGGGCAATGATCATGGCCAGCGGGATGGCGGGTGCCACGGGGGAAGAGGGTAGTGGGGGGCCAAGGGCGATGGGTATGAAATGGCCCCGGCGGGCATGCGGGTGTGCCACGCGTGGGGAAGGGGGAATGAGGCGGCCAAGGAGGATGAAAATGCGCCAGCGCGGATGCGGCGTGCACCGGTGGGGAGGTGGATGAGGCGGCCAACGGGGGAGGGGGATGAATGGCCCAGCGGGATGCGCGTGCCACGTGGGGGGAAGAGAGAATGAGGCGGGCCAGGCTGACGGGGAATGAATGGTCCACGCGGGATGCGGGTTGCCACGGGGCGGAAGCGGACTGAGCGGGCCATAGGGGAGGGGAATGAATGGGCCGCAGCGGTCATGCGGGTGCCACGGCGGAAGGGGGATGAGGCGGGCCCAAGGAGAGGGATGAGATGGCCAAGCCGAGATGCGGGGATGCCACGGCGGAGGAAGAGGGAATGAGCGGGCCAAGGGGAGGGGCATGCAATGGCCAGTGGGATGCGGGTTGCCACGGGGGAAGAGGGATGAGGCGGGCCAAGGGGAGGGGATGAATGGCCAGCGGGATGCGGGTGCCACGGGGGAAGAGGGATGAGGCGGGCCAAGGGGAGGGGATGAATGGCCAGCGGGATGCGGGTGCCACGGGGAGAGGGATGAGGCGGGCCAAGGGAGGGGAATGAATCAGGGGATTGCGGGTGCCACGGGGAAGAGGGATGAGGCGGCCAAGGGGAGGGGATGAATGGCCAGCGGGATGCGGGTGCCACGGGGGAAGGGGGATGAGGCGGGCCAGGGAGGGGATGAGGCCAGCGGGATGCGGGTGCCACGGGGGAAGAGGGATGAGGCGGGCCAAGGGGAGGGATGAATGGCCAGCGGGATGCGGGTGCCACGGGGGAAGAGGGATGAGGCGGGCCAAGGGGGAGGGATGAATGGCCAGCGGGATGCGGGTGGTGCCACGGGGAAGGGGATGAGGCGGGCAAGGGGAGGGGATGAATGGCCAGCGGGATGCGGGTGCACGGGGGAAGAGGGATGAGGCGGGCCAAGGGGAGGGGATGAATGGCCAGCGGGATGCGGGTGCCACGGGGGAAGGGGGATGAGGCGGGCCAAGGGTTAGGATTCTTAGGAATGAGGAAAAGTCTAGCATGAAGCTATCATGGGGTCCCGCGTATGCCTCGCTGCCTCATCTGCTGAGGGCGTGAGGGGATACAGTTGCCTCGACCAGGTATGAGGGCGCCATGAGAACTACGTGAGTGGAGACAGACATGTATAGAGAGAGATGTCGGTTTGGAGATAGATTGGTAGAGAGGGCGAGAGAAAAGAAGGGGAGTCGGCACACAGGGGAAAGCAGCGCTCTCTGGCAGTGGCAGGGGACAGCCTGCCAGGGGTTGGTACAAATCGGGTGGTATTTGCGGGATCAATCCAGCTCTAGAGAGAGTAATTGATTCAGTCGAGAGAGAGGGAGGCAAAGGGAGTGAGGGTGCGATTGCACGTAGTGGGGCGGGGGAGAGGAAGGGGAGGACGAGGGCGGCAGTGGAAGGATGTGCACGCACGCCCTCACTCTAACACAAATGGTGAAGTTGTCTGATATATCACACAATTACACTTGAGACATGCAAATGGATGCGTCTGTTTTGCGTTTCTTGAAAATGTTCATACTTGCCCCTCAGTGTGCACCATGTTATGCATTCTGCATTCCATTATTTTGCATGTAATTCTAGGTCGATATTTCAATACCCCCCACTCGTTTCTGCCTCCCTACGTAAATTTATAGCTTTCGTCTTCCTTTGCTATGTTTCTCTCAATTTTGTTTTGTTGTGCTTATGCATTCCTATTGTCCTGCTTCCATTTCTATTTTCCCTAATACATTTCCATTTCACCATATTAATTGATATTTTCTTGTTATTTTTTCTCTGTCAATCCTGTTGCGTCCTTCATTCACTTCTTTTCTCTGCATTCATTTTTTATGTTTCTCTCATTTTCCCCTTATTCCTTTAAAGTTTTTGCCACATCCCCTCCCGTATTTTCTCCATTCATTTTATTTTTACCTCATTAATTTTTCTCTTTTTTTCTGCATCATATCCGTTATTTCCCTTCATTCACCCCGCGAAATAAATGCCGCGTCGTTCGCCTGTTTCCCGTTTTTATTTTTTATTTTTTTAACTTTTCCGTTTTATCTGAAACGTTTTACGACAGCGTCAGAAAGGGGCCGTTGTATTTCAGTCCCGCTCTGCGCCTGTCGTCACGAATGTAGGCTCTCAATTTTATCGAGTCCCCCTCGCCAGGTGAGGCACTCGCGGGAGCTTCGAAATAGTTGAGTGGCTCTTTTCGTACTCCGCGTGTGAGGCTGCCCCGTCCTCGCTCGGCCTCTCTTTCGCTCGCCGTCGCTCTCTCTCGCTCTCTCGATCTTTTTTTATTTTTGTTAACCCCCTTTCATTTTCCTACCCTCTCTGTGTCTACGAATATCTTTGTTTTACGATTATTTCTCGATTTTCTGTTCTCTCCTCCCAGTCTCCCTCCCCCACTCTCACTCTCCCTCTACCTCTCTTCCTCCCTCCCATTCGCTCTTGCCCTCCCTCTGTCTCCCCACCGGTTTATCCCTGGCTGCAGGGGCGAGCGTCACCCCTCCAGCCATAATGTCTCCCCCTTATCATCCTAAAGAGAAATCATGCACATTTTGTTGGCGCGCGTGAGGTCTTTTGTCCTCATTCGGGTATTCATTTTGCACTTCGTCCCGGACTCGGTTATTAGAGGTTTAATCTGCTACTGTTGTCGCTGGTCTAGTGCACCGGCGCGTGTGTCGGGACGCAGGGCTTTCCTTTATTTCTGTTGATTCGGTGCGTGGCTTTCCACGTTAGTGCCCCTTGTTCCTTCCTCACTCCTTTCTATCTCATCCATCCTTCCTCTCCCTTCGTTCCCTCCTTCCCTTTGCCCCCCCCCCCTCCCCTCGCTCTGAGTGTGTATCCAGGAAGTTAGTATAATCCAATCCCCTTCCCCCAGCCCTACCACTCACCAGGCAGTGCTCCCCCAGTCCCCCAGCCCTCCGCCCCCGCGCCACCCCAAGCATTGCCGAGGTCCTGGGTTGCGCGCCACGCAATTGCCTGCGGGGGACATGCGGATCATAGTCATTGATTGTGTGTGTGTGTGTGTGTGTGTGTGTGTGTGTGTGTGTGTGTGTGTGTGTGTGTGTGTGTGTGTGTGTGTGTGTGTGTGTGTGTGTGTGTGTAAAGGATGCTGCGAGGTTGCGACAGAGGTGAGGTAGAGAGGTGCTGGCAGGAACCTTTCGCGTGGGTGCCCGAAGGGCGGGGGACAGGATGGTGATGGGAGGGAAGTGGGGTGGAAAGGGTATGGCGGGAGGCCGTGAAGCATATTGAATGTGGGGGAATATGCAGAAGTGTGAGGAGAGAGGAGTTGAGGGGATATGAGAAATTGGAACGGGGGGCGAAGTGGCCGGACAGAGAGAGGTAGGGGGATGGAGGATAAGAGAATGAGAGAGGGAGGAAAGATGGAAGCGAGGAGAGAAAAAACTGAGAGAGGCAATACTTGATAGGGATGCGAGGTGAAGAGGAGAGTAGGGTGGAGACAGAAATGGATGTCGAGATAGAAATGAATGAGGTGAGGGAGGAGCATGTAAATGGTTAGTGGACCAGCAAATGCACGCACGCAGAAGAGATAGTGGCGATGACGATAGAAGTAGAGAAGGGAGTAATAGCAAGAAAAAAGAGACGGCGAGAATCGAAAACGAAGAGACAGGCCTGTAAGCAAATACGCAGGCTAGTTAGATGACAATCACACAGATAGGCTAGTAGACAAGAAATTCTCTGGCTAATATAAGCAATAGGCAAGTAGACAGACAATCTAGCATGCTAGCAATCAGAGGGTGGCAAGCAAGGACTCACACTAGGCTAATATATAGATAAGCAACATATAGACAAGTAGATGAATAAACAGACAAGATATTAGGCAACACGCAGTCTGTGAAGCATGCATGCAAGCAGACGAGCAAGGAGACCTGTTATTAAGCTGACAAGCAAGCCGATAGACTAGAAAGCAAGCAAGCAGACAGGGCAGTAGACTAGCAAACCGCCAGCTAGTAGAGTCGAGCCGGCAATCACGCAAGCGAGCAAGCAAACTAGCAAGCAAGCAGGCGAGGGAACAACAGCGTACTGAGGGCGGTATTGATACAGGAGCTATAAAGGTCACCGCGTATGCCAGACAGTCAGACACGCCGCGGACGCGCTTACTACACACGACCTCGGGGTAGCGTTGGTGCCGTGCTCTGCCGTGCTCTGCCGTGCTTTCGTCTGCCTTAACCCTGCTTTACCTTCCCTTTGTTTTACCTTGCTTTGCCTTGCATTATCTTACCGTGCTATTCCTCTCATTCCCTGACTTTGCTTTGCCTTAGATGACCATGCTTTCACTTCTGTTCCCTCTCTTTCCCCTGCCCTTCCTTGCCTTGCTCTCCCCTTCTTTACTTTCCCTTGCCTTCCATTAACCCTTTCCCTTTCTTTGCATTCTACTGCTTCCTCTTACCATTCTCTTGTCTTCTCATCACTTCCCTCCGTTACCTTCCCTTCCATTCCATTCTCTCTCTTTCCCCTCTCTTTCCTTCCCTCCCCTCGTCTCTGCTCGTCTCGTCTCGCCTGTGCTCTTCTCTGCTCGTCTCGTCTCGTCTGTGCTCTTCTCTGTTCGTCTCTGCTCTTCTCGTTTCGTCTCGTCTCTGCTCTTTTCTGCTCGTCTCGTCTCTTCTCTGCTCTTCTCTCATCTTCCTCTGCCTTCGTTGCCTTCTCCTCCCTTCATTTCCCTT